AAACAGTGTAGACGAAAAGGGACCGGTGATTGAAACTATAATAGTAAAAGAGCGAAGTTATGTCTAAAGCACATGGGAACGTTAATGAAACAAGTGGCGATCGGTTTTAGTTTAATGCCTGATTAGTTGCTGGGTTCTTAGTAAATTGAAGCAATATGGCGGGTGGTTTAGGCTTAGTAAATACGTGCCTGATAGAAAATGGAAGAGTGCTCAACCAGCGAGAAAATTTAAAAGCATCTATCTTGTGGAATGCGAAAATGGCTTTCGAGAAAGTTGTCTGTTTGTGAACTGTTTTGTAGCATTGACCTGTTTTAATTTTCATTCGGGTTGCTGTTCACAACTTACGTTGTGTCGCATTATTAGGCGCTTTTTAGGCGGCGGCTGACACTTAGTGAGAACCTGGAGTTGACTCCAGGAAATAAGAATACAAAGTCCTGTACATTTTCATTTGTGGCGAGGAAACCTCCAAAACACGCGACTCGACATGTGACTCTTCGCTGTTCACTTAAACAAGATGTACTTTTATTTTATTTTGCAGGCCTTTGGTGGATTAGTAGTCGCTGCGGTTGTGAAGTACGCCGACAATATATTAAAGGGGTTTGCCACGTCCGTGTCAATAGTTGTGTCGTCACTGGTGTCGTTCCATTTCCTTAATGACTTCAAGCCAACAAAGTGAGTGCCTTTATTATGTTAAATAATAATCTCGCTTTGTGTTTATTTTACTGTTTTCTACTTTTATGGAAAAAACCTACAAAAATCAATGAATACAAGAGAGGATTAATCTACTTTTAAAAGAGGTATGCTCAGTCATAAGGTTGATTCCTTAGATTAGCCCTCATAAATTATATTTTACGTTATATGTTGAATTTGTCTCGCGTTTTGATTGGTTCTTACCTGTGATCTATTGAAGGACAGACGCACAGATGACGTCACTATTAACAACATTTTGCTTCTTTATTAACAAAACAAATAAAATCCATGAAAATCTTGATATGACCAATTCTGTTTAGTCTACGTTCACGCCCTTATTATAAGCGTCGCAGGGTGCGCGTTTTTCGGCCCGCGGGAAGATTTGAGACGAGTAAGTGAGAGGTTTTTCTAAGGGTCTGGACCTCATCATCAGTGCCAGACCTCTTGCGGGCCTCTCGTTGCTCAAGGTCACCTACTTTCCCACGGACGAAGAACGCTCTTGCCGAAGGGTTAATGATGAGGGTTTGCTCCCAGGCCAAATGCTGTTTGGCGAATTTTCTGTGGTCTTCATCTCTTCATCCCATGAAACATGTATTCATTCCTCTCAAAAATAATCTAGCAGTACGTGAGGGAAATGGAACATTATTCCTGGAAAACCGGAGTCGTGTTGTCCGAACTTTTAGTCAAGTCGCCCGAAATCCCGAGTCATGTCGCCCGATTTTTTATCACATATAAAAATATAAAAATAGTAAATTATAAGAAAGCGCTGAAGGTAGCGATTGATCGAACAATCCTTGTCTGTCTGCCTGCCTGTCTGTCTGTATGTCAGTCTCTTTGTCTGCTTGTCGGTCTGTCTGTCTGCCTGCCAGTCAGTCTTTCTATCTGCCTGTCAGTCTGTCTGCCTACTTGTCTCTCTGTCTGGCTGTTGATCAGTCTGTCTGCCCGTCAGTTGGTCTGTCTGCCTGTCGCTTGGTCTGTCTGCCTGTCGGTCTGTTTGTCTGTCTCTCTGTCTGTCTACCTTTCTAGTTACCGTTTCTGTAACTCCAACCAAATTACAAATCTTCTGTCCCAGGTCGTTACGCACAACACCGGAGTCGTCTAAAAATCAAACATTTTTATGTTTTTGGTTTTTCTGTATTTCAGCTTTTTCTTTTTGGGTACCTGTGGAGTTTTAACAGCCACGTTTTTGTACGGTTTGCCTGAGAAGAAATCACCTCAGCTGACACCTGCAAAACCCGTGTAGTGCCCGATGGATGTTATTATAAAGGTAGTGATAGTTGTAATTATATATTTTTATATGTTTTGAATTCTGCTCTGCCCATCAACATGTGCTATTGTCAAAAATGGAAACATGACGTATCGATATCACGCAAACCGTTCTTTTAAAAGATAGGAACATGTCAAACTCAAGTTTAGCGCCTTCTTCATACTCTTTGTTGTGTTTATTTAAAGGATTATGTGTCTTGTTGTAGGGTCGGTTATTGTATCAGCTGATGGGCGATGTAAGGTCGGTTTACTGTGAGCCGATTGTCGACCGGTGGTTGACAATCACCCGACCAATAGACGGCCAATGTCTTGATGTCCCGGTAGGCTAGACCATCAGTCAAGTGGGGGTGAACTATGAGGCTGTTATCAACTGACTTTTGATCACTACCGACCAATAAATCGATCTTTCTTGGGTCCAAAATATCGACCGATGCTGAATAGAACACGTGTCTTTTAGTTGAGAAGCTTACGTAGAATTCTCGCTAATTTCTTATTGAAGTCGCATGAAGGCGACCTGGAAATTTCCATACTCCAAGTTTCTCTCAGATTGAAGATGTTCTTTTGTTTTTAATGCTTTGTTTACTTGTTTGTTTTTTCTAACTATAATTTCAATGGCTATTTGAAACATTCTAAGCTCGAACTCCTAATAGTTGCTCGTGGTCAAAATAGGGAACCCAAGATCATTGGTATGTTAACAAAGTAGAATTTCGGTTAACTGATGGTAAAATCCACGCAGGCTGTTGGGAAAATAGAAGAAAAGCTTGTAAACTAAGAGCCGGGGGCGGTAAACCGAAAGAAAGTGCGGTCTATTGCCTTTTTAAAATACAATTCGGTATTTTGGGGGTTTATGGGTACAATAAACGATAAGTTTTTTAAACAATCAGAACGCCCTTCGTATTTCAGCTATTTTATAATATTGTGATAAAATTTCCAATCATGGAACAGAGGAAATGTTTTGACTTAGTACAACTTCAGATCAGCAAATTTTGGTTCCCACGCACTCTTAGCTCTTTTATCGATGAGATGTTTTATTTATTTAATGTTACATATCTTACATACTCACGGTGCGTTGTAAGAAGGTCACAGTGAATACACTTTATAAGTAAAGAAAAGTAACTCTAACGAAGTAATTATGATGCGTTGTGGGCATGTTGATCGAGGGGCCTGGCTTTGAACCTGTACCCGTCGGGGGCTGGGCGGAAGGATAGTAGATCGATAAACTACGGGATATATTTAATAGATTTATGTTTATTATTACGAGAGCAAGGTAACAATAATTTTCAAAATAAAAAACAACTTTTATCTATTTACCAAACATGTTTCGACACCCCTATGTCTTCTCAAGTTGCAAACGTGTTCTATACAGTTTGAATATTTCTTTGTAATCACGTCTTATATTAACTTTGTAAAATAACATTCTAAAATTGCGTTGCAAAATGACCACAATTTGAGAAGGTAAAATACACTGAAAAAGAGAATAGCAAAAGTTTCTTAAGTGAGAACAGAAGATTAAAATTACCATAAGCAACTTTTCATCTAGTGTATTTTAACACTTCAAATTGTTAACGTAATTTTGTAACGTAATTTGTGACTGTAAAAGTTATACTATACAACGAACATGGGCGCCTGAAGATGGTCTAGAATGTCGAAACATGTTTTTAATTAGGAGACTTTGATTCAAACAATCGGTCCAGCGCTGCCTTCCGAACAAGTTATTGCCTTGAAAGGCTATGCGCTGATTTGGAGGGGCTTTGGAAAACGATGAGTTTGAATAAAGCTGTTTGATTGTTGATAAAGAGGGAAAAAGAGAATGTGAAAATATATTTATTGTGTTCTTTAGCCATATTAACTTGCCGAGGTAAGGGATGGTGTTATATTAAAACAGACTGTAGTCGGAAATTTGAAAGCAGAGGAATAAATGGAGTCAAAAATTGTCATTGCAATTTTTTTATTTTCCATTGCCAAACAACCTTAGATCTTGAAAAAGTTTCTGTTTACGAAAGCTGTGCGCTTTTACAGGGGCGGTGGAAAACGAAGAGATTTTCGTGGCAAAGATCTACGCGCCCGTCCAAATTTACGCTGGCGATGTAGCTCATATGTGAGATTTTCAAGCCTGTTTTGGATGATTTCCTAAACGATTTATATTTTTCATTGATTATTTGATGATTGAAATATAAATGACTTCCGATCAAACATGCTCGCATTTTACTATACCGCTGTCTCGCACGTAAACAAGCATTCTAAGTTGTGCGGCAAGACTGTCACGGTTTTCAACATGAATGGGGTCGTCACGTAATCTCGGGTACACGAATTCTCGTACCAGTCCTACTCTAAAGCACTCTTCGCTGCTACGGCGGGTCGACGTTACTCACCCTGGGAGGGGAGGGTTACCTAACACAACGGGGTTTCCGTCGGCTATGAGTAACCTCAGCTCCCTACTATTTTAAAACAATACGAGTTTTGGACAGGAAAATTTTACCTTTCTTTTACCTTCTATTGAAAAGCAGCACCCGTGTTATGATCAAATTTTTTCGTCATCCGACCGTCAGAGGGAAGCAGTTGTGAGCGAGGGTAAGCCTGACGATTATTCTTTCAGTTTTTTGACAAAAATTTTTGTATCATAGGCTAACATTAATTTTTTCCCCATTTTCTTTTACATCGACGCAAAAACTTAAGGAAAAGATGCACAGTTAGTTCTTGGTGTTTTCAGTTGACACTAATCATTGCCATATGAACCTCGCCACTGAACGCAAATTATTCACGAAAGGAACCCTTCGGGCCATTTCAAATACTTAAATTGCAGGCTTTCATTCCTCTTCATTTGCTTTAACTCGTAGACTCTACCCTTTTAATTAACTCTCCCGGACTTGTTAAGTATTTCTTCACCCCAATTCATTGGATGAAGGATTGGGGAAACGTTGCTTTCCAAGATTAGTGAGCTCTTATGTTTTGGTAGCCTAGCTCGCTGAAAACGAGATGGGTGCCCTGTGCGCTCTTCGATTAGCTACAGGTGGCTTGGGCACCAGTTCCCGGGGCAACTTCAATTCCTTGAGAAATATTTCTTTTCACAACACGAACAAGTCATGGCTGCGATTTTATCGTTTTCAGGCGTTCATTCATTCTTTTTTCTCTTGTTCTCCGGATTTATTTGCTTTTTCACTGCCAATGGAATGCTTGGGAGAGGTAAAGATTTTACATTTTGTAGTTCGTATGTTAAGTGGCGAAAGAACGCGTTTGCGGAGGAAATATATTATTCATATTGAGTAAATTTTTTATAGTTGACGATCTCAAAGTGCATAAAAAATACTCAGCTGTATAGTACGTATTGAACGTTAAATATTTATAAGCTAAAGAGTTAAGGACTTACAGACTTAATACTATTTGTCACATGATCGAAGTTACGTTCGTTGCAAATCCATCGAGAGCCTTAACTTCATCAAGTGACTTCCAAATCGATGGCTATAGGTGTTTCGTTGATGAAAACTCCTCACCACGTCACTTAAATTTGTCGCTGCCATTCTCCAGAGAGATCTTCCTATTCTCCTGAGAGTCAATACAAGCTAGCAAACTTGACGATGATTGAAATTACGATTTAAAAACAGATGGAGTGAATTGCCGTGAGCAAATTTTTTAGTAACAGGTCAATAATAGTTAATAGTCACCTGCATAATGTAGCAAATCCAACGACTGTTCGATTAATTTGCCTGTTTGTATACAGATCTTAGTTAGTTCAAGGTTTTTACCTTACTTGCCTTCTGGTCAGTGATGATTTCAGTTCAGGTTATTTCAATTTGACAATTGGAACCTAATGTTATCGTCTTTAACTCACTTTCTGCCTGAATCCTTTTTATTTACACATTTATTTAACATTTATTTATATTTATTTTATTTCATAAATTGTTTAAAATTTTTCTTTAATGTGAATTTCTCATTAACCCTTTAACTCCCATGAGTGTTTAAGACAGAATTTCTCCTTAACAAGTGATCAGAATAAAGTAAATATCAATTACGAGATTACTATTTGATCCAATACCAAATTCTCCAAACTAACATAAAGAGAATTATTTGGCAGACAGTAAGGAGAATTACTAAAGAGATCTTGGGAGTTACAGGGTTAAAAGCTATATATTAAATTCACTATCAGACATGTCTGCTTCTTGCCATGAGTTTATATTCTTAAATTGTCTATAATTAAACATCCCACTCTTGTTTGCCTCACTCACCTGATAAAAGTTGTAGATAAAATTCCCTTCTGCCCATGGCCATATACTATCCTCTTTATCACTTATAGTAAAAAAGTAAAAACAAATTTTGAGAGGTGGTTCAGTGAGGACTGGATGTCTTTGAAATTTTCATGTTTTCTTGACTACATATCATATTTAGTGAAGAAAAACAGGTTTCTTTTTCAGTGTCTCAGATTTTTTTTTTATATCTCAAGTTTATTTCTTCATTTTCACCCAAACAGTAGAAAAATAATGATAATTACTTATGATTTGAGGTTACTGCTCTTTTTTAAGTCTTGTAGAATCAGATGATGATTGTGACTTCTTCATGTGACTTAAACGACTTAATGTGACTTCTTCATGTGACTTAAACGACTTATTATACAATTTAAATGTAATGTGCCTTTCCTTTTAGGTTTTGGGGATCACATAGACTGGAAGACATATTCTGAAGGACTTAAAGAAGCACAATCAAGGTGAAGCTTTCTTCCTATTGTGATTTAAATAGTGTATGCTGAGTTTAAAAACCTTTCTGCCAACTTCTCTGAGGTAACAGTGTTGCACTAAATTTCACAGAGTTCACAGACTTTTTTACAAAATTGAGCAATCATGATTTACTTTCTGGATCTCTCTCATTCTCCTAAGTTTTTTCTTTGAGTTAAGGCTTGTTTGCCATACTATCAGATGCATGCATACACTCCTGTAAGGGTTTGTTTGAAATTTCTCTAAATCTATTAAAAATAAAAAGAAGGAAAATTACTGAACCCTTTACCTCCCCGAAGTGATTAACATGTAACTTCTCTCTATAACATCCATACATTATCCAATAAACAGGCAATGAGAAATTGCTCAAACTTATCAGGTAGAAGTTGTTACCCTGATCTAACACAAAATTCTTTTAACTTATCGACAAGCAAATGTATAGCAGCTAAAGGGAAGAATTAGCAATGAGATCTTGGGAGTTAAAGGATTAATAACAAATTGTAGTTTTATGACTGGGATTTTATTACGAGTATAAAAAAAGACAACATTTTATAATTGTAATTGGATTGTATATTAAATTTATTCTGATCTTGTATGTGTTATTGATATGTGTAGTACATATTCATTTGTTCAGCTCGCATTTTCATTGTTAAACATTTCAGCCGCAAACCTGTGATGGTGATTATTCACAAGTCTTGGTGTGGTGCATGCAAAGGTAAAATCTGTTTGTCTACTTTAGACTTAAGCACACAAAGACCTGGAGCAGTATCTAAAAGAAGTTACACATTCTTCATTGTTATGGATCATGCCCCAAACATTGTGATGTTCAGATTTTTATTAATAATTAAGTGAAATGCTGCATAATCGACTCAACATTATGAAAAATATATTATTTTTTTTTCATTTTTTACCAAAGTAGAGGTGAAAAGTCTTGGATATTTAAACAGCTCACTAAATATTCACCACTTGCAACAACACTGAGAGGAGTAATTGTGTTAGCATATACCACACAAATACAAAAATATTAGTTTGTTTCTTTCAATATACCAGAAAAGGGTTGGAAATTAAACTCTTAAGGTGTGATTCTGTCTCATCAGCTGTTCAGAGGTGAATAGTTCTTGCTATTAACTTCCAAACTAGCCAATCAGTGCACACAAAAAGCATTATTCACCTGAGTGTGTGGTATATACTAAATATAATTACATATTTGATCAAAAGGAGCCCCAATTATTTTGAAGGTAATGATGAAAAGTAAATAAAAACTATTTGAGAGTATCAAAACTTGATTTATGATTCTTGAAACTTAAATCTCCAGGCTTGAAAATTGCAATGTGAGCTTCGTAACTTCAGCAATTCTCAATTATTAAAACTATAAAGTATCATATATCAAGTTTTGAGTAAAGACAATATCAACTGGCTTTTGAGAAGAATGTCACTACATGTGTTACCATACATGAGATGCAAATGCTATTTTTTATGTTGTTTATGGCAATTTTGTTGTCAAAACTACAGCATTAAACAGAAAAATTGTGAGGATTGTATAATTATTTATATTTCCTTTAGTTTGTTTTATTAGCAGATTCAGTCCTGTATTTTGCTTTCTACCTTTTCAGCCCTCAAGCCAAAATTTGCTGAATCAATGGAGATAGATGAATTAAGCAAGAAGTTTGTGATGATTAATGTTGAGGTACTGACGTTTACCACCAAAGATTTTTCTTTGAATTTTTTCCTTATATGGTCATTTTTTCAATTTTTTTTTGTCATTCTTCCAGTAAGTGTTATCATTGGCTGATTAAATCTCTTGTACATAAGCAAATTAGCAGGAACATGTAGAAAAAGTGAGTTAAAAACCAGAACATATTTAAGCCTAACTCAATGACCTTTTCAATGCAACTTGACTGTGCTTTTATTGATTATATTGTAAAGAATGACCCCGTTTGAGTGCTATACTCAATGGTACAAGCAGGGCCAGAAAGGGGCCATATGGCTGAGGAGGAAAATGAATGAGCCTCCCCTGGGGTCATATGATTATTAACTGAGTTTGGTGAGGATGGACAGAGAAACATTTGGCTCTCGGTCCAAACTCACAGACCTCAAGCCTAACTTTTTCCATTCTGGCCCTCTTACTTTTTCATTAAAAACACATTAGATGTTTGGTTCCATGGCTTTGGGATGATAAGTGAGATTTGGCATGCAGCTTCATGGTTAACATTCCAGACACTGGGTGAAGAGATCTGGGTGCCAGCCCTGGCTTGGTCGCCATATTGTGTTCTTACCCATGATACTTAACTCCTGACTCCCAGCCAATTGACAATTGCTACTGGTAAACAGTTAGGGAAAATCTGTCAAGATATGGTCCAGTGGGTAACTTGCAATGGATGGTGTCCCAACCTGGCAAAAAGAGTCTATGCTCAACCCAAATGGTCCATCCTGCCAGAGCTAATCTTGGTTTCCATACCCTCCCCCCCATCTGAAGGGACACCAATCCATTACAAGGTTATCCCCTAGCATTTCTTCAGGCTTCCCTGACAAGTTGATTTACTTCTGGGTGAAGAGAGGCATTGTTAATGTAATTAAAAGTATTTTGCTCAAGAACACAACACAACAGCCTGGATAGATGCCAACCTGGACCTCTCAAGAGCATGAACCATTAGCCCATGGCATCTCCCACTTGGGAGACGCATCCCAACCTGGGGTTTACTAGCAATATTCCTTGTCACTTCTTGCTCTGGAAACTTGGATATGCTTTGGTATTGTAGGCTTCAAGATTTAAGAGCTGAATTTTATTTGTTTCCACAGGATGATGAGGAGCCTCAAGATACTAAGTTCCAGATTGATGGATCATACATTCCAAGGATATTTATTCTAGGTGAGTAACTTTAATGATATTGGTTAATTTGAGATTGGTTTAAATTCTGTATTCTTGGTTGCTGACTTCTTATTTGGATATTTTTATTTCAAGGAGTGGTCTTGAATGCACATCTGTTTCCATTTTTTTTTCTCACTTTCAGATTCATATGGTAATGTTCAACGGGATATTTACAATAAAAAGGGAAATCCATCATATAAATACTACTATGGAAGTCCACCAGGAAGTAAGTGAAATGAATGTACCATTTCTACCTCCCTCTCTCCCCCCCTACTTACCTC